GTTTAACACCAGTGATTGTCTGAGAGAAACGCGACACTCTCGTGATAAGTTGGCGTGAAAGCGAAGCCTTTCCCGACTGAAGTGCCGTAAAGCCGCTTACCTCCCGTTTCTGTGGCATGAATTTCTTCCATGCTGCTTTACAGGCTTTGCTGCTACGCGAACAATAAACTATGTGCAGACCTGTTTCTAAACATGAAGAACATTCCAACACAAAAGCGGTTCTTTTATATTTGAAGCCACAGCAGTTAATCCCCTGTAGCGGGTCAGGTTTGATGTAACTGGGTTAAAGTAATACGATTATGAATTGTAGCTTGACGCACACGGACAGATTTGTCCTGCCGAGCTCACCCAGCTGTTTAAAATTCCTGTCAAATCAACGTATCCAACAAGCAGGACCAACGCTCACGCCTTCATTAGCTCCTGATCACACTGACTGTGGCTGCTGTGGCTCACCTGGTACTGCGGGTAGTTGTAAAGGTTTCCATAGTAGGTGGGGTAGCGCGAAGGCTGGTAGAAATTGTAATAGGGGGTTTCCAGCAGGAGGTCAGACGGTCCCTCGGTATGAGCCCTGGCAGCGGCTGATGGGCTGGGGGACGATGCTGAGCGGGTCCCTGGACACAAAAACAAACAAATCACGATGAGACCGAGAGGATGAAGAGTAAAGTGTGTGGCTGGTTGTTTCAGCACTGTCAGGTAATTTAAAATATGATGTTCAGGATGTTTTCAAACGCTCGTGTTTGTGTTTTGTTGCAGTTTTAACAAGGAAACAAGTCTCGTTACGCCCGTCTCACATTTTACTGATGCTAAAATGTAACAATTAACTTCTCTCAGCATTTAAGTTACACTTGTTCAGATCATTAAAGGAGACAGAAAGAGTTCATTTTGAAACTTGCTGCCCAACAGCTCCATCTTCAGGTGACAGCTGTACTTGGTGTCAAACATAAAATTGTCATTTTTCAGGATGAAGATGACCATTAAGTCATCATTACTCACTCTCGGTTGTACGTTTCTTATCAGCAAGGACACATTCTTCCCAGGCAGACCCTGATCTTTGCACAGGGAAGACACTGTGCACCACTGGAGCCAAACATGATCACATTTACTGTCCCAACTCCTGCCATCAGCAGCTCCACACAGTGCTCCACTCCTTTTTATACCTCAATCTTCATCTCTACCCCCCCGTTCCCTCAAAATAAAAGGAACACACATACAAACATACAAAGTGCAAGATAAGAGCAGCCTTGACCCAAAATCACATTCAAGCGCTATCAGCGAAACACTCTTCCGTGTCAGCTTCCACGCAACCTGGAAGAAAAACTCAAGGACATATTTTCAAGTTTC